TCAGAGGGAAGAGGCTGTCAGAGGGAAGAGGCTGTCAGAGGGTGCAGGCTGTCAGAGGGAGGAGGCTGTCAGAGGCAGGAGGCTTTCAGAGGGAAGAGGCTGTCAGAGGGAAGAGGCTGTCAGAGGGTGCAGGCTGTCAGAGGAGGCTGTCAGAGGGAGGAGGCTGTCACAGGGACAGCCAACAAACGTTAATATTAAAGAATTGCTAACTTTTTCTTTTTTGAGATGGGGTCTGGCTCTGTCTCCCAGGCTGCAGTGCAGTGGCCCAATCACAGCTCAGTGCAGCCTCGATCTCCTGGACTCAAGCGATCCTCCTGCCTCAGCCTCCCAGGTGCTGGGACTATAGGCTTGTGCCACTGCAGAATTGCTAACTTTTTAATGTGAATTGTGTTAATAAAAAAAAAAGTCCTGATACTCAGAAGTGGGATTGCTGGATCGCACAGTGATTTTATATTTTTAATTGCCATAGGGCTTTCCACAGAGGCTGCACATCCTACGTTCCCACCAGCACACAGGGGTCTACTTCTCCACGTCCTCGCCAGCACCTGGTGCTTTCCTGATTGGTGTGAGGGGGTGTCTCCTGCAGCTGTGACTGTGTTCCCTCGTCACTAACGATGTTGAGCTGCTCGCTGGCATTTGTACGTCTTCTTTGCAGAAATGTCCATTGAGTCCTTTGCCCATGTTCGAACTGGGTTGTTTGTTTGCTGCTGAGTTTTGGGGGTTCCCCACACATCCTGGGCATCAATCCCGTGTCACACGGCTGATTCGGAAGCATTTTCTCCCAAGAAGAGGGTGGATTTTCAACTGTGGGCCTTGACAGGGGTCAGGATCAGAACCACAGGGACGGGAACAGGGATCAGAACCACAGGGACAAGGACAGGGATCAGAACCACAGGGATGGGGACAGGGATCAGAACCACAGGGACAAGGACAGGGATCAGAACCACAGGGACAGGCGTTGGGATCAGAACCACAGGGACAGGTGTTAGGATCAGAACCACAGGGACAGGGACAGGGATCAGAACCACAGGGACAGGGATCAGAACCACAGGGACAGGGACAGGGATCAGAATCACAGGGACAGGCGTTGGGATCAGAACCACAGGGACAGGCGTTGGGATCAGAACCACAAGGACAGGGATCAGAACCACAGGGACAGGGATCAGAACCACAGGGACAAAGGGGTATGAGGCCAGGGGAGGGAGGACGGGGGCACGTGGAGCCGGAGCAGAGACACCTTCGGGGCCACTGGCCGATGTTTGCAAACCGCTGAAACGGAAAGGCACAGGCCGTTCGTGAACACTCTTCAGAGCGGTGCCTGAGGGCCGCGGGGGTCAGAGCCGGCCTCCCTGGGGAGGACTCACCCCGCAAAGCA